TCAGTGGTGATTGAAGCATACTGTAAAATCAAGTTTCCAAAGGAGAAATCTGGAATACTTGGACTGGCTGTCTCAATGCAGAACACATGAACATACTAGAAGGATTGCAGGTGGGGCTTTGGAAACTGGGTCCAGGGCTAACAATTTTTAATCTTCCCCTGGGAAATAACTAGGGATGTAAGAGACTAATTGAGTCACTACTCAACTACTTGCTCCCCCCAGCTGCCTCTGATACAGAGGCAAAAAAGAGGGGGGGGGAGACCAGGAGCCAGTGCTGGGGGGAGCCAGCTTAAAAGCTGGTCCCCCCCAGCACCGTCTCTTCAGAGGGAAGCAGGAAGGGGCATGGGAGGCAGAGGTACAGCGGTTGGGGACTGGTGCGAACCGACAATTGCTTCAGTCCTGGCTCACGCCGGGTCCCCCGCTGAGGCTCTTAATACATTTAAAAAGCAGAGGTTTAGCAGTCCCTGAGCGGCACAAGCTAGGACTACTCAGTCAGCTTACGCCGCCCCCGGGAGCTAGCCCCACTGCAGCTCTGCAGTTTAAATGTAGTAGGAGCTGGACTGCCTCAAAATTTCATCGACTACTTCATTAGCTAATTAAGTGTTACTTAGCATCCCTAGAAATAACTGCCAACTTTGTACTATGCACCTCACCCTCTTCGAGTGCTTCACAAACATCAGTGATTTAAACCTCACAGTGGCTTGGGACTAAGTATTGGTGGACATTTTCTTTGTAGGAAAATATGCAAGTCTCAATTGTACCGTAGCAGAACCCATAACTGAGAACCGTGGAAGTCCCCTGATCTAATGGGTGTCCCAATGGGACTCTATGCCTCAGGCATGCACAGTGCCACCAAAAACAAACAAGAAACATGGCTAACGTTCCACCTTAGGATTGACTATGTCTTTAATGACTAGTGCAGAGAAGCAACAGGTACTATCCCCGAGCAATCCTTGCTCCCTTCCATAGCAAAATAAGGCTCAAAAGTAAGCTTACTCAAGTTATTTCTACCATCAATAATCAAGATGAATGGATACTTTCTTTAGTTGGTAGGCTGAAGCCTGTGGGAGGTCATATACTGAATTAACTCCACAAGTTAATGAACCAGTTTTTCACTTGCACCTTCCATGTTAACGATGAGCCTCTGGATCTCTAGAAATAATGAATTTAAGAAAATATCAAATACTCAGTTTACCTCTTTGTGAACTAGCCTAATCACGTGTAACCTACAGATAACTGGTCAGTATTTCTACTTCTGATATTGCAACTAGGAATTTCAACCAAGAATGAATGTCTGGTTTGACTGCTTCTTGGATATGACTGAAACAAGAACTGCAGTAGGCATCTGTGTGCTGTGCGGTCTTGCAAATGAATTATTGGAGAATTAATTTTCTTTAATGGAGGAAGAAGGAATCTTGAAATGGCTCAAAAAACCACTCTGACTCTGCTGCATACATCAACCCTATTACAAAGAAAAAGCCACAAGGTGTTATTTTGCAGCCCTTATATAAGAAAAACTTCCACTGAAGTCCCCTTTATTTGAAATTTAGCATAATTCTCACAAGAGAGACCAGACAGAGTGGCTGCTATTAAAATGTCAACACTTTATTACTGACCATAATGTGGAACCTAAGAAATTATAGCCTCTTATTGTAATTACAGAGGAAAGTCATGGTTTATCAGCTTTCACTGTGCAGCCTCTGGCTTTTTAAAATGGCAATCCTCGCACCTGAAGAAGGTGCTACACACGTGAACTCTATTATTAGAAAAGCCCAGACTATTCATATTTTACCTCTGAAACGCAATTAGGAGTAACATCCCCAAAATATCCTTTTTTAAATTTTTCCCGTGTTCCTACACCAATATTGCTCAACTGTTGTAGGGCCATGGCACAAGTTCATAACAGCAGCAAAACCAAACCAAAAATCCACTTCAAATAATATTTATTTTCATGTGTGTATACCAAACACTTCTGTTACAAAGTCATCTTTGCACTCCTGACTCTTTTCAGCATGTAACAAATTAAAAAATGGAGTAATGGATTATTATGCAAATATACAAGTATTAAGAAAAATCTCCTTCCCTCCTCCATTTCACCACGTTTTTTAAAGTACTTCAGTTCTTGAATTAAATTATATTTTAGAGCATTTCTTGCATTCCATTTTTCTTTGCTTTATTTAGATGTTTTGGTTTCTAGTGAGGTGTAAAGAAACATTGAAGATGTTTTCAGAGGGATGGGTTGTAATCCTCTGGAACAATACCAAAAAACAGTGATAAAATATGGTTCAATTATATAAAGTATTCAAAAGACAAAACTTTGTAAGAGCTGGTGCATGAATACAGATTTTTTTTTACTAAAACAGGGCTTTACTTATATGCGTCTGAAACAGGATCAGGGATGTAAGCAAGCAGTCAAGTAGATGACTACCTGATAAGCCTAGACTTACCAGGTAGTCAAGTCAACTACTAGCTCTGCCACACCTTGCTATCTCTTAAAAGCCGATCCCCCCCAGCACTGTCTCTATGGTGCTGCCTGCCTTCCCGCCCCATGCTGGTGCCTCTATTAGAGGCAGCAGTGTAGGGAGCGTAGGAAGGTGAGGCAGGAGACGGTGCCACGAAGCAGCCTCTGTACGCGGGAGGTGCTGGACCCGGCGCGAGCCAGGACTGAGCAAGCCCGGGTCAGTTCTGAGTCATGCCGTCTCCAGGGCTACCCCCGCTGCACCTCTGCAGTTTAAATGTAGTAGCCAGGTTGCCCGCACTCCCAGTTTCTGCTACACTAAACTTCAGCGCCGCAATGGGGTAGCTCCTGTACCCGACACAAGCCAGGATTGAGCAAGCCTTCCCTTACTGACTAATTGTGTAGTCAATAAAAATGTTATTGACTACACAGTTAGTGGATTATCCACCTCTTAACATTCTTAAGCAGAATATCACATTAAAAGATCTAGGACCAGAATATTCTAACTTGGGCACTTTATGTTAGTCTCCTAAACCTATATGTAGTCCAGAAAAGCTTCCAAGAATTAACTCTGAGAATTTGCTTTATACCATATCCGTATGCAATTAAGTTTAAGCTCTACAGATGCTGTTTTTTTTTAATATAGTACATGGATTTCATGTTCAGAAACCCCTGGTTTAATAAGTTTTGTTTCATTTGTACCATCACTTACGTCAACATCATTTATCACTCTTGGGTTGTCATTTCTAATCTGATCCTCAGATCATACCTGCTGCTTTAACAATGAAGATATCTGATGCCTGATCAAGTTGCAGATTCTTGTTTAAAAAAAAATCTTGCACAATATGTTATTTTCTAACTTGGAGAAAAAAGTTTAGGGGTCTCTTTTGGTACTATGATACTGTCATAAAATAGTGTCACTGTTCCTGATTTCCACTAGAAAAATGTGAGCAGACATACCTTTCAATCATATTTAAAAAAAAAAACCTTTAAAAATATCGAAGCAATAATGGCAACAGCTGCCATTTTAGCCATCTACTTCCACAGTGACAGCAGAAGATTAAAGAACTGAACCATAATGAACACTCCTGTTCCACAAACCATTTATCTTACAAGACCATTAATTCTCCAGTCTTACTGAGCTAACAATTACAGAAGCAGCACATATATCAGAGTGTTCCATCAAGAGCATCATCAGTTATGCACCAGCCATTCTAGCTGTTGCAAGGTAAATATTTCCTGAGGTTGCTGTGTCCAATGCAGGTTAAAATAGTCACATTTGCTAACAGATACACATTCCAGTTTTCATTCTTACCTTCCCACAGTTATCATGAGCACTTCAACCACTGAACAGCACAATGTTATATGTATTACTACATTTATAACAAAAGTTGGGAAAAAGAAAAGACACACATCTCTAAGATTAAGCTACTTGTATCTTTTCACAGGTGTCTCCACCAAAGCCTTATTGTGATATTCTGACTAACTGGTCTTTGTGACTTTTGTGATTCTAACTTATATGTGTTTTGGTTATACCTGGATTCAGCTGGTCTCAATTGTCTTTTGCCTTATTAGTATATCCCCAAGACGCTGCTTGTTTATATCCCTCTAGCATATGCTACGCTCCCAGTGTTTATTGAATGATATCATTCAATTATTATTCAATTATAATGAAGTTAACTTCATGGAACAGCCTTACTCCAGTAAGGGCTGCATCAGAACATTTCTTTTCCACAGTGCTTTTATTTTTTTTTACTGAAATAAAAAACAATGGACCCTGTCACTTCTACAGCAGAGTTATGTTTTCCTCCTTTGCCTTTGTTAATTTACTATTAGGTTTGTAGAGGCTGCTTTGGCTAATACAGACTTGTATCCATAAGCTAAATTCAGCCAATTTACAGTAAGGATGTAAACAAGTAAGTCTTTCCAGGTGATGCTTACAGGGTATTGGTAAACTAGTACCCAGGAGCAGCCCCATGCCTGCAGCCCGCTGTAGGCAGGGGGCTGGTCCAGCCCCACAGTGGTACCTGGCAGCAGAAGTTGGCAGCTGAACATGCAGGGTGGCTGGCAGGCAATGGCCACCCCATGCATGGGGAGACTGGGAGCAGAAGTGGGTTCCTCCACTCGTCGGGCTGCCAGCTCCTGCTGCCAGGTAGTGGCAGCCTGGTATGGGGAAAGAGAAAGAGCAGGATCCCGCTTACTCAGTTAACTGGTTAAACCTTAGGTTTCACATGTTAACTAATTAACCAGGATTTTACATCTCTAATTTACAGTCAGACTTACCTGTCCTCTTTCTCTTCACAAGTGAACGGAGTGTGAATTTTGTTACATTAGCATGAGAACAGTCACCACCAAGATATAACAGTGGCATTAACAATGGTGCACCTTCTGCTTATGAAGAGAGCAATGTTCTTCAGCTGATGCACCAACAAACGTCAAAGAATTCACTCTAATATATTGGTGTACACAAATGTATTTGTCCACTGTGTAATGTAAAAGCACAACCATATATGAAAAGCTTGGACTTTAAAATTGCACTTACCTGGAACAAAGCTGCCCTGGACCACCTCTTTATAGGCCCACCAGCCCTCATGGATTTTTGGTGAATTCTGTTGAGCTAGAAGGAAACAACCAAAGAAACTATAAAACTAGGGCAACATTTAAGGAAGAGTAACACGAGCAATTTCAAAACTATAATAATAAAATCATCATCATCAAACCTAAAGTGACCTAAGACTTCTGTAAGTTGGACACTCAAATTAATGGAGCAGAAACTCAGATGGTCCTGTGTAGATCCCAAATACCGGAGGTAACCAAGTCTCTGCTAGTAACACAGAGTATGGCACACAAATGAGCCATTCTGAGTCCACATCAACAGGAGAAGCTTGGCATGACTGAATTTTATTATACTACATATTTCATCCAAAAGAATTTCAAATTGCTTCTGACATATGCACCAAAATACAGCTGCTTCTGGGCTGGAAGAAAGCAGTGGTTGATGGAGGAAGGAGACACTGAATTGCACAAGAGGTAACTATGAGGCTAGAAAAATCATTCAAAAATGGCCAATTGGCTACGTATAGATATGCCTGGTAGGTGCAGAAACTACCAAGGCTTTTCAGATAATCATTCTGAGAAGCGTCGTGCCATTTGAAACACAGTTTCACATGTTCATAGCACCAAAAAGTAATTTGGATCAATCATTGGGTTTTAATGCATTGGGATGGCAGCAAACACCACTTTTCTTCTGCGCCATTGCAGGGTGGAGGCTAGTCATCGAAAGGGAAATAAAAAGGGGAAAGGATGAACAGGGAAAGGGCACGTGTGAAGTGAGGTAGAGGTGAAAAGATTGTGATGAACAAGAAAGGGGACGGTTAGAGCAAACCAACAGCCAATCAGCACAGGGCAGAGGAAATCGGAGAACATTTTACAGTTTTGTTTTGACTGGAATGTCCTGAGGGCCCAAGGTTCCTTCTTTAGCTGCCTCTGACGTTTGAAGTCTCTGGCTGCTGTTAACAGCTATCTACAAAGCCACATAATGGGGGAGAAAGGGAACCCAGTAGCTGGGTTCTTGTCAGGAGTCCTACACAGTTCAGGGTGAAGGGAGACCACAGCTGAACCCTCTTACTCTCTCCACTCCTCCATCCAATGCAGCAGACCCTAGGTTGGCTGTTTCTGGGTCTACAGGCTGAAGTGTCATATAAAAGAGTATAATTATGCACCTATTCCATAGGCCGTTATCACATGCACAAATGAAGATACAGCTCATTCATGCATAATCATCTGACTATAATAGCTAGACATATACAGACCCGTCCCCCCAGATAATTAACTGCATCCAGTCATGAGAATAATCTTTTTTTTTGGTGTGTCCCACTCACACTTCCTAATATGCAGAGTTGTTGACTCGTCCCCCACGACTTGAACTCAAGTCTGACATAACTCGCCTTGATACTCGACTCATTCATTGTTTGTGACTTGAGACTCGACTTGAGACTTGCTAATTTTGTTAAATCAACTTGGTGAAAAAATTGTCCGAAAATACCGATATTGATGGCTGGTACAAAAGTGACTTGACATTTTTTAAATTAAGACTCGAGTCTCGACTTAAGACTTGAACTGTACTGACTTGAGACTCAACTTGGACTTGGCAACGATGACTTGAAGACAACACTGCTAATATGGGTCACAACCCTGCCAACACTTATATCTAGGTTTGTCTCAAATGTATGAGTAGTTCTACCACATCAACAGGACTACTTATGTGAATAAAGTTAAGCATGTGAATAATTCTTTGACACGATTAGGGCCTAAATCTCCTTGATTCTATTAGTAAAGGAACATCATTTGTTACCTGCAGTCATTAGATTTTTCAGTCCAGGTGTATTTGCCCAAATTGCTTCAGCATCATTAACTGACGGTACAGAAGATTCCCACGTACTGTCCCACCCCTTTTCTTGGTACATTATATGTTCTGTTGAACAGGAGTCGGGAGTGCAACAGACTCCATAAATCACAGTCTATGAAAATGGTCTCTGAACTACAAGTAGTCCTGAGATGCCTTAGAGACTAATCAAAATATATAGAATCATGAACTTTCATGGGCAAAACCCACTTCATCAGGTGAATTGGAGAGCAAATAACAGAATCCAAGAGATCTATAACAGCAGATATCATCATCTTCTTCTTAAACCTTTGTACTACGAGTGGAGCATAGGTCATCTACAAGTCTCCTCCACTTTACTCTGTCTTGAGACAAAACTTCTAGCTGACTCCAGGAGTTTTGTTGTCCTTCAGACAACAGCAGAAGTAATACCAGTAAACTGTAGGACCTGTGTTAATGAGGCCAATTGAGTGGACTGGACGTGTCTCATACATAGCTTTTGATATGTAAATGCAGATGTTAATGGCAGGAGAAATTGGCTTTGTAACAGGCCAACCAATTAATGTCTTTGTTTAGGCCCAGGGAAACGGTGCCAAATCTGAAGGTAAATTCCACTCTTTATCAGAGACACAAAGGCTGCATCAGATCCTGTACCACTGAAGGAAAGCTCTGTGCCAAAAGGAGGTAGGGGAGGAGTCCTACAGTCAGAGCAATACCCTAGGACAGTGGTCACCAACCAGTAGATCAGCATCTACCGATAGATCTTGGAGCCTCTGACAAGGGAGTCTGGTTCAGTCAAGAGGTTATCAAGTGCCAGCAGGAGCCTCCTGCTTGCTGTGCTGTGCAGGGGATGGAAAGGAGGGCGCTGATGTCAAGGTGCCCTCTCCCACTCTGTATCCTGTCTCCACAGAATGGAGAGGGGGCACAACAGGACTTGGGATGAAGAGTTTGCTGGCTGCTTTTGGGAGTGGAGCAGGGCCAGGGCAGGCGTGAACCTGCCTTAGCCCCACTGCAGCACCACCCAGGAGCCACCTGAGGTAAGCAGTGCCCAGTCGAAGCTCACATCCCGAAACCCTACCCCAGGCATGAACCACCTCCTGCACCTGAACACCCTCCCAGAGCCTGCGCCTAGAACCCCCTCGTACACCCCAACAGCCTGCCCCAAGAGTAGCTCAGAACCCCCCTCAAACTTCAAATCCCTTAATCCAAGAGCACAGCCTGCACCCCAACCCTGTGCCATAGACTGTTGAAAATGAAGGAGGATGGAGTTAGCAGGGGGCAGGCTTCAGAAAAGGGGCACAAAGGAGGCAGGTCAAGCATATTTGGGCTTGAGGTAGATCTCGGATTGCACGAATTCAAAAAGTGATCTTGTGCATAAAAATATTGGAGACATCACTGCCCTAGGAGCTCTGCAGTACCAAGGACAATCAGCATGCACAAATGCACTCCCAGTTTTTTTATTTGTACTAGACCCTGTCTTTGGTTTTTTCTTTGCTTAGCGAATTTTGCTTCATCAGATTTTGAGAATGAACATTATCCAGGTAGCAACCGTTTCTGACCAATGTGATCGTCTGGAACCAAAAAATTTAAACTAGAAAAAGGTACTTGTGGGGGGAAAAAAAACCAAAAACATAACCTTTTGTTTGGCTGTCCCAGGCCTTCATCTGTGAGGTACAGAACAGACCTATCTCTCCTTGAATTCAATCAAGGCACTGTAATGATAGGGATGATTATATGCCTACAGCACCACGGTATCTAATAGCATCCCAAACATTAATTAGAACCTCTCAGGGATGCACAAGAGTTTCATTATTCTCATTCCTTATACTGTAAACTCTTTGCCACACAGTCTTTTACATTTGTATAGCATAAAGTAAATACTCATTTTATAGATAAGTCGCGGAAGGTAGCCGTATTAATCTCTATCTACAAAAACAATGAGAAATCCTATGGCACTTTAAAGACAAACAGATTTATTTGGACTATCTTTTGTGGTTAAAAACCACTTCATCAGATGCACTGGAGATAGACAAATAAATATAGATAAACCAAAGTACAGAGCTATCATGACTAAAGTTTTCAAACCAGGATTCAAAAGGTTATGTTCACATGTTATGTTCACAAAAGGTTACGTTCCCTATTTCATTATCAGTGGGAAACAGGTCAATGGAGGGATGATAGGAGTTACTAGAGAGAACTTTCTGGGTGTCTGAGTCTTGCCCACATGCTCAGGGTTTAGCTGATCGCCATATTTGGGATCGGGAAGGAATTTTCCTCCAGGGTAGATTGGCAGAGACCCTGGAGGTTTTTCACCTTCCTCTGTAGCATGGGGTACAGATCACTGCTGGAGGATTCTCTGCATCTTGTGGTCTTCAAAGTATTTGAAGGCTTCAATATCTGAGACATAGGTGAGAGGATTATTCTAGGAGGGGTGGGTGAGATTCTGTGGCCTGTATTGTGCAGGGGGTCAGACTAGATGATCATAATGGTCCCTTCTGACCTTAAAGTCTATGAGTCTATGTAAAAACTGATTTGGTTTTCAAAGATTCTGTACACCTGAAGATCTCTCTGAGTTTAATGGGATTTATGGGTATTCAGCACTTCTGAAAAATCAGGCCGCTTCTAATTACTGTTCAAGTATGCAATTTAGAAGCTGAAATTGAGGCACTCATATGGGAAAACTTTAGCTTTAGTGACATGTCTAGAGGAACTGAGTGGCATAGCCAGGAACTGAAATCTCCTGAGTTGTAGGTAGGGATGTAAGTTAGTAGCCGAGTAGTTGACTACTCTGCTATTGCATTTCCCCTCCCTTGCTGCCTCTGTATCACGGTGTTGCCTGCCCACCGCGCTGCAGCTGGAGCAGCCTCTGTCCACAGCCAGCCCCAGCTGCCACAGACAGGAGCTGCTTCGTGGCAGCAGCCCCTGGCTGTGGGGGATCCCAGCTCCCTGCTGAGACCTGCACTGACTGGGGCTGCTGGACCTGGCGTGAGTTGAGACTGACCAACCCCAGCTCGATCCCAGGTCATGCTGGGTCTGGGAGCTAACCCCACTGCAGCTTTGATTTTAAATGTAAAAGCCAGCTCAGTCAACTTAAATTGCAGAGCCATAGCAGCGGACCTGGTGCAAGCTGGGACTGAGCAAGCCCAGCTCAGTCCCAGCTAACACTGGATCTGGGACCGTTGCGACTCTGCATTTTAAATATAATAAGAGCCAAGCCAGCTCTTACTACATTT